TATATAAAGTCCACCTCCGTGAACACATACTGCTGTTATATAAAGTCACCTCCGTGAACACATACTGCTGTTATATAAAGTCACCTCTGTGAACACATACTGCTGTTATATAAAGTCACCTCCGTGAACACATACTGCTGTTATATAAAGTCACCTCCGTGAACACATACTGCTGTTATATAAAGTCACCTCCGTGAACACATACTGCTGTTATATAAAGTCACCTCCGTGAACACATACTGCTGTTATATAAAGTCACCTCCGTGAAACACATACTGCTGTTATATAAAGTCACCTCCGTGAACACATACTGCTGTTATATAAAGTCACCTCGTGAACACATACTGCTGTTATATAAAGTCACCTCCGTGAACACATACTGCTGTTATATAAAGTCACCTCCGTGAACACATACTGCTGTTATATAAAGTCACCTCCGTGAACACATACTGCTGTTATATAAAGTCACCTCCGTGAACACATACTGCTGTTATATAAAGTCACCTCCGTGAACACATACTGCTGTTATATAAAGTCACCTCCGTGAACACATACTGCTGTTATATAAAGTCACCTCGTGAACACATACTGCTGTTATATAAAGTCACCTCGTGAACACATACTGCTGTTATATAAAGTCACCTCCGTGAACACATACTGCTGTTATATAAAGTCACCTCCGTGAACACATACTGCTGTTATATAAAGTCACCTCCGTGAACACATACTGCTGTTATATAAAGTCACCTCGTGAACACATACTGCTGTTATATAAAGTCACCTCCGTGAACACATACTGCTGTTATATAAAGTCACCTCCGTGAACACATACTGCTGTTATATAAAGTCACCTCGTGAACACATACTGCTGTTATATAAAGTCACTCCGTGAACACATACTGCTGTTATATAAAGTCACCTCCGTGAACACATACTGCTGTTATATAAAGTCACCTCGTGAACACATACTGCTGTTATATAAAGTCACCTCCGTGAACACATACTGCTGTTATATAAAGTCACCTCCGTGAACACATACTGCTGTTATATAAAGTCACCTCTGTGAACACATACTGCTGTTATATAAAGTCACCTCCGTGAACACATACTGCTGTTATATAAAGTCACCTCCGTGAACACATACTGCTGTTATATAAAGTCACCTCCGTGAACACATACTGCTGTTATATAAAGTCACCTCCGTGAACACATACTGCTGTTATATAAAGTCACCTCCGTGAACACATACTGCTGTTATATAAAGTCACCTCGTGAACACATACTGCTGTTATATAAAGTCACCTCCGTGAACACATACTGTGTTATATAAAGTCACCTGTGAACACATACTGCTGTTATATAAAGTCACCTCTGTGAACACATACTGCTGTTATATAAAGTTACCTCTGTGAACACATACTGCTGTTATATAAAGTCACCTCCGTGAACACATACTGCTGTTATATAAAGTCACCTCCGTGAACACATACTGCTGTTATATAAAGTCACCTCTGTGAACACATACTGCTGTTATATAAAGTCACCTCCGTGAACACATACTACTGTTATATAAAGTCACTCCGTGAACACATACTGCTGTTATATAAAGTCACCTCTGTGAACACATACTGCTGTTATATAAAGTCACCTCCGTGAACACATACTGCTGTTATATAAAGTCACCTCTGTGAACACATACTACTGTTATATAAAGTCAGCTCCGTGAACACATACTGCTGTTATATAAAGTCACCTCCGTGAACACATACTGCTGTTATATAAAGTCACCTCTGTGAACACATACTGCTGTTATATAAAGTCACCTCCGTGAACACATACTACTGTTATATAAAGTCAGCTCCGTGAACACATACTGCTGTTATATAAAGTCACCTCTGTGAACACATACTGCTGTTATATAAAGCCACCTCCGTGAACACATACTACTGTTATATAAAGTCACCTCTGTGAACACATACTGCTGTTATATAAAGTCACCTCCGTGAACACATACTGCTGTTATATAAAGTTACCTCTGTGAACACATACTACTGTTATATAAAGTCAGCTCCGTGAACACATACTGCTGTTATATAACGTCACCTCCGTGAACACATACTGCTGTTATATAAAGTCACCTCTGTGAACACATACTGCTGTTATATAAAGTCACCTCTGTGAACACATACTACTGTTATATAAAGTCACCTCCGTGAACACATACTGCTGTTATATAAAGTCACCTCTGTGAACACATACTGCTGTTATATAAAGCCACCTCCGTGAACACATACTGCTGTTATATAAAGTCACCTCTGTGAACACATACTGCTGTTATATAAAGTCACCTCTGTGAACACATACTGCTGTTATATAAAGTCACCTCTGTGAACACATACTGCTGTTATATAAAGTCACCTCTGTGAACACATACTACTGTTATATAAAGTCAGCTCCGTGAACACATACTGCTGTTATATAAAGTCACCTCCGTGAACACATACTGCTGTTATATAAAGTCACCTCTGTGAACACATACTGCTGTTATATAAAGCCACCTCCGTGAACACATACTGCTGTTATATAAAGTCACCTCTGTGAACACATACTGCTGTTATATAAAGCCACCTCCGTGAACACATACTACTGTTATATAAAGTCACCTCTGTGAACACATACTGCTGTTATATAAAGTCACCTCCGTGAACACATACTGCTGTTATATAAAGTTACCTCTGTGAACACATACTACTGTTATATAAAGTCAGCTCCGTGAACACATACTGCTGTTATATAAAGTCACCTCCGTGAACACATACTGCTGTTATATAAAGTCACCTCTGTGAACACATACTGCTGTTATATAAAGTCACCTCCGTGAACACATACTACTGTTATATAAAGTCACTCCGTGAACACATACTGCTGTTATATAAAGTCACCTCTGTGAACACATACTGCTGTTATATAAAGTCACCTCCGTGAACACATACTGCTGTTATATAAAGTCACCTCTGTGAACACATACTACTGTTATATAAAGTCACTCCGTGAACACATACTGCTGTTATATAAAGTCACCTCCGTGAACACATACTGCTGTTATATAAAGTCACCTCTGTGAACACATACTGCTGTTATATAAAGTCACCTCCGTGAACACATACTACTGTTATATAAAGTCACTCCGTGAACACATACTGCGTTATATAAAGTCACCTCCGTGAACACATACTGCTGTTATATAAAGTCACCTCTGTGAACACATACTGCTGTTATATAAAGCCACCTCTGTGAACACATACTGCTGTTATATAAAGTCACCTCTGTGAACACATACTGCTGTTATATAAAGCCACCTCCGTGAACACATACTGCTGTTATATAAAGTCACCTCTGTGAACACATACTGCTGTTATATAAAGTCACCTCTGTGAACACATACTACTGTTATATAAAGTCACCTCTGTGAACACATACTGCTGTTATATAAAGTCACCTCTGTGAACACATACTGCTGTTATATAAAGCCACCTCCGTGAACACATACTGCTGTTATATAAAGTCACCTCTGTGAACACATACTGCTGTTTTATAAAGTCACCTCTGTGAACACATACTACTGTTATATAAAGTCACCTCCGTGAACACATACTGCTGTCATATAAAGTCACCTCCGTGAACACATACTGCTGTTATATAAAGTCACCTCTGTGAACACATACTACTGTTATATAAAGTCACCTCTGTGAACACATACTGCTGTTATATAAAGTCACCTCCGTGAACACATACTGCTGTTATATAAAGTCACCTCCGTGAACACATACTACTGTTATATAAAGTCAGCTCCGTGAACACATACTGCTGTTATATAAAGTAACCTCCGTGAACACATACTGCTGTCATATAAAGTCACCTCCGTGAACACATACTGCTGTTATATAAAGTCTCTGTTCAAAGACACGCTGCAAAGCTGCATATTGGAGAAGATCTGTCAACAAGAAGCCGCTAGGCATAGCTCTGTTAGCATTAGAGCCGGCCGGCTATACTTCCGGTACTTCCGGCTCGCGTCAGGACGTTCTGGTGTGAAGTCCTCTGCGTCTGAAAACTAGAGAATGCGTGTCTGGTAAGCGGGGCTTCCGCGTTTCAGCGTTGGCGGTCTGAAAGCACCATAAGTGGTGATAACAGTGTTTTAGCGTGGCGCATGTGATAAGCGTCTGCCTTAAAGGGCCCATATCACGGTTTTTGACTTTTTTCTGCTTTAAACATGATTACAGTGCTATTTGGGCTTCACACACATGCCCAGAGTGTTTTTTACATTGCTTCCCTCAAGCAAGCAGGATTAGAGAACAGGATCAGAGAAAGTGGCAAAATGGACATACCTTGTACATCACATTCAAAATGTACACAGTCATGATGACCCTGTGTTTCCCAAATGTGCACATCCAATGAAAGAGTCCAAAGATCCGAGCAAATGGTTTCCCAGGTTTGGAAAAGCATATTATAACTCTGACGCCAGAGTTGTGTGTTCATGTTTACCAATACATTGCTTATATACTCAGGTTCTGCCTCATTGTACAAAATAGAAAAGCTACTTGTGAACAAGAGACTGCTGGAAGATGTGAAGAAACTCAGCTCTGAGCACCAGACATCAGCACTGGAGGCTTTTCACAGCGTTATTCTTCGCTTTGCCCCCAAAAATGTGGTGTACCCTTTTGAAGGAATGATGTGCAGGTAATATAACTGAATATTTTTTGTAACAATCATGAGTATTACAAATCCTTTCTACAATGAAACTCTTTTTGCAGGTTGTTTTTGGCAGGAATGCACTTCAATGACAATGTGAAACGTGAGCAAGCATCTTCAAAAGGGCAGCCTTTATTCAAAGTTTCCTACCCAAAAGACAAAAAAGGAAAGCCTACAGCAAAGCCTCTCACAACAAAGCCGACATTTGGTAAACAAGAACACTGCACAAACATTTTACATTATATAACTAGTCACACTTTTGCAGGATATGTCCTGAGCTGATGCACCTCGTCTTCACTGAGGTCTTCTCCGAGCCAGCTCCTTTTATTGAACAGTTGAAGACTGTCGCTGTGCCTGAACACCTCAGCGCTCAGTTTGAGAAAGTTCCTAAGGGAGATGTGGTTGCTGCACATGTTGCCAAGTTCAGTCGACGGGCAGCCGAGGCTGACCAGAGGGTAGAAAGCCAACGTACTGGCCTTCAGGATCTGGGAACTCCTGGCGTATCCTGAGCACTGCACATGCAGGGATGACCACCCTGATTCTGGCTCCCAGCAGTCCCCAGCACCAGCTCACGATGCTTCTGTACGCCACAAATCTGAGACGCCTGCGGAGAGTGCACATGTGTAAACTAGTGAAATGTACTGTCCTATGTACTGTAATTTGCTGTCCTATTTATGTTGTGATGATTGTACTCCTGTACCCTGCCTCCTCCATCTTCACCTGTGGACTGTCCTCCCCAGCCGGACTCGTGGGCTGGACCCCCTCCCTGCCATGAAGCTGCCTCAGTCCTCGTTCTGCAGCCCGGGTTCTGCAATACGTCTGTCCTGGATCATTAGCCCGTCCATCCAGGACGGTCTGTTTGACAGTTAGTGTCTAACAAGAAGGACTGTGGTGTTGATCCAGGACAGAAATCAGCTCACTGCTTTACAATACAATACAATATAAAGTTTAGCAAACAAAGAAGTTAGACATGCACACAGTTATACATACATAATAATATACTCACAAACACACATGCACACCCGAACGCACACACACACACACACACACACACACACACACACACACACACACACACACACACACACACACACGTTAAAGGAGATACTACTTTATATTGAGGCCATTTTCATAAAGGCTCTAAAATACATCAAAACGCATGTTCTATTTATTTATTTTCACAGTTTCTGGTTCTATCTTAATTAAATCCAAAATATATTTTTTCATTTTGGACAAAGTCAAGCAGGGGTATCTAAACAAATCATATCAGCAGCTGCAGAAATGAAACGATTTTCTCACAATGTCAATGATTTGTTTACAATTACACTGTTTTCCTTTGACATCCATGATCTTGTTATTTGAGGGGGAACATATTACAAGGTGGTGGGGCTTACAGTAAATTAAAAACATGGCCTAGAGAATCCTTACACGAGTATGATATATGAGCACATCACCCCAGTTCAGTGTTCACTTGATTGGTACTTAGTTACTTCACAAATCCAATTCAAAGCTCTTCTTCAGTTTTGTTTATTTTTAGGTTTTGGAAAATATCTTGTGTGTTCATATCTATCATAATTCTCATAGCACATTTCCTTTATTGTTGGCTCACATTCTATCACCATGGCAACAGGCCTATGTCATCACATTAGAATCATCTAAGCTATGGTCTGCTGAGTCTGTGTATGTCAGTCTGTCTGTGGATAAAGTCACACAGAGAAGAGAGTTCGGTCAAAGTATCCAAGTCACACGGTTTAACCCAGGCTGAATACAATTGAACAAAATGTTGTGTTTTAGAAAGCAATCGAAGAAGGACAAGCGCATCGAAAAGCTTGAAGATGACGTGATGGTGTTGGAGGAAAAACACAAGAGACTATTCGAGGAACTGCAGTTGGAGAAAATGCAGAGTGGTAAGGTGGAGGAAACTCAACTGGAAGTGCGTCGCCAATTGCAGGAGCAAGTGAGTCAGCTCCAGACAGAGAGATCTGCGTTGGAGACTGCCCTAATTCAGTCAGAGAAAAGCACTACTTCAACCCAAGTCAAACTGGATTGTACCATGCAGGAGAAAACAGTACTCCAAGAGGAACTGCAGAAGGCCCATGTGGAGATTGAGGCCTTGGACACTGCAAATAAGACTCAACTGAAAGAGCGTCGCCAACTGCAGGAGCAAGTGAGTCAGCTCCAGACAGAGAGATCTTCGCTGGAGACTTCCCTACAGCAGTCAGAAAAGAGATCCACTTTTACCCAAGAAAAACTGGATTCTGCAATTCAGGAGAAAGCAATACTCCAAGAGGAACTGCAAAAGGCCCATGAGGACATTGAGGCCTTGGACACCGTAAACAAGACGTCTGCTAAAAAGACAGATGCAGTGATTAGAGACTTGCAGAAGGAGCTTGCACAGGTCAAGTCTGAGACCAATGAGACGATAGACCTCCTGAACTCCTGTATACAAGAAGGCAACAGTTTCATAGACGAGCTCAAAACCCAGATGCAGGACAAAGAGACGGCCAATACCCGGTTGGAGGAAAATCTGGCAAACACCCAAAAGGAGTTGGAGGGATGTAGGACAAATTTCCTCATGAAAAACTCTGAGATGGAGGCCGAGAATGCAAAACTCACCGCTCTCTGTAGAAAGTTCAAGACAAAAATAATGGATATGGGACAGCAGCTGAAAAACGTACAAGCTGCGTCAGAAAAAACACTTCTTGTGGCCCGGGAAAAGTACACACATGAGGTGGAGGATTCCCAAAGGACCTTTGAACATACCATTCAAGAGCTGAGGAATCAGATACAGCTGAAAGACATGGTGATCAGCAATCTAACAGAAACTGAAGAGAAGGCGAAGGAGGAGCTGGCCAATAACCAAAAAGAGTTGGAGGAGTGCAGGGTGAATTTAGACTTGAAAAGCTCTGTTATTACAATAAAGATGCAGGAGAACGCAAAGATCAAAGCAGAGAATCGACAGATAGAGTGGAAAAGCAATATCTCGGTTCGGGAGGCTAATAAGACAATCGAAGAGTTGAAGGCCAAGATATTGTGTCTGGAAAAACCCTCTGAAAACATTTCAAAGCAAGAGGTTCTAAGTAATAAGCAAAGTCATCAGGAAAAGATGCTTCCAGCCGCTCTGAGTTCCAACCAGAGAAAAAGACAGAACTTCCTAGTACAGCATTGGTAAGAACACAACAATGTGTTTAGGCCAGACCAGCCACCACAGGTCACAGTCAACACAACAGGACAAAAACTAAAACCAAAGAAGACACCACAACCCCAGCTATGTAATGCCTTTCTGCAGGCTAAGCAACTAGACCCTGGTGTTGACGGGGATATTTGTGTCCACGTTCTACGGCCGCTGTGAGGCCTTGGTCCTCGTTCTGTAGCTTAGGTCCTGGATCTATAGCCCGTCGGTCCGTGGGAGCGGATCCCTCTCTCAACATGGATCTCCTCGAGGTTTCTCAATTTTCTCCCACTGGGTTTAAGAGTTTTTCCTTGCCAATGCAGGAGGGTCTGTTGGACAGAGTCTAATAAGAAGGACTGTGGTGATGATCCAGGACACTTTAATATTCTACAACATATATGGTTGGCGATATCAACGTCCTCTGAGATGACAACTCTTGTGAGTTAGAGCTATACAAGAATACATTGTATCGTATACATACAATTGTATTGCACTGTGTTTAAGTGATGGGTCATAATCTAAAATCATATGAATTATTCTGAAAATCAAAATATTCTCTCCAAATTCAACTGTTTCCAAGAACGGAATACAACAAGGTGCTACAGTGGGAGCGACTGTAAACTTGTCGTTGTGTCCTTAAGCAAGACACTTCATCCACTTTGCCGTGTGTGAATGTTGTGCGTGTGAATGAGGTGGTGGTAGGAGGGGCCGATGACAGGCAGCCTCACTTGTAGCAGTTTTCCTCAGGGCAGCTGTGGCTCACCACCACTGTGTGTGGGATGAATGGTTAGTGTGATGTGTTGCATGCAGTAGGAAGCTGTATTTCAGATTGAATGCAACAGTTTGAGGGAACCAAGAGCACTTTAGTGTCATGACAGGCCCTTTACAAATGCAAATGAATGGCTCCAATAATAGGTTAGTTTAGTTTTGTTGCTATGGAGAGAATCTGGGTCCACAGGCCTGAGTTCCATCAGTTCCTGTTGACCTTGTGATGTTGAGAATCCTGCTTTGAAAAAACTTTGACAGAAGCATGTGCATTACCAAAATATAGAAATAAAAATTATATAAAACATATTAATGTCTGTGTATTCATCTTTTTCATGTAAAACTCCAGGGATCACCATTGACTAACATATTACCAACTTACTTTTACCTTTCAGTTAAAGAAAGTGACTAATTAAGTTCTTCGGTGAAGGATCGTTGGTGCAATGACAGCTTCATCATCAGTCATTTGGACCCTTTGGGAAGCAGTTTGTCTGTTTTTAGCTTAACTAGCTTTTATCAAACTTTTTAGAGATCAACCGTTTTTATTTGGGCATTTATTTTACTGTTTGTATTCACCTTTTTTATATATCACATTTTATAATTGAACGGTCTGCGTGTGTCCTCCTTGGCAACGCCTAGAGTGTGCTTACACCCCATTTAATCCTTCATCTTTCAATAACTTCTGGTCCAAACAAATTCCACTTCCACCTTAGTCTCCATAGAAACACACCCCCATTGCAATTATGTAATAAAATTAACCTTCAATTTGATCATAGGTAGAATTCCTTGACTGGCTTCTGTCATGCCAACATTTCTTGCCACATTTGCTTCTCATCTCCAACCCTCAGCTTATCCACACTTTTACCTCCAAGTCCTGTTTTCCCTAATATCTACAGACACATAAAAGGTGCCATGTATAAAGGTTGTTTCAGAATATGGTTCATAATCTGACATGTACATGACGTTCATCCAATAACAATTACTTATGTAGGAGGAATAAAATGACCTCTTGATCTACGCTACCCTTCCTCCGCTCTGATAAGACCGCCGCCCCCCCCTGGGGGAGGTGGCCCGAGAAGTGACAAAACTCTCCCAGCTCCATTTTGAAACACTCTCTTACAAAATGCGTGGGGAGAACATGACCTCTATGCTCTCTCTCGGCCCTCCAGGGGAAAATGGAGGGCCGAGAGCCTGACTGTCTCTACTCAACAGTCAAACCTCAGCTCCAGGTTTCCTCCCTCTACTCTTCAATGGCCTCCAGCTTCGACATGGAGAAGTTACTGGACTGTGGCTCCCAGACGTTGGATCGTGGAGAGAGAAACATGTCCCTTGTCAGAATTTGAATCGGCAGCGTTTCACACTTAAGGCTAACGCTTATCACATGTGGCACGCTACTATCCAAATCGTTACAGATAATTGGTTTTACTCGTCATTTGTTGACGATGTGACATTTTTTACGCAATTCTACCACGAAAACCCGCAGAAAGGATCCAAAACCACCCGCCCTATCCAGTTTTTTCCAGCAAAAAGATCTGCGGAAAACGAGCCTTTGATGTTACTGGCTCCAATGCAGTTTGTTTAGAAGCAAAGCGCCTTAGTGCTTTAAAGTATGTCAAATAACAAATAAAACATCATGCAATATATATAATTACATTAAACATAATGTAAATTCTGCAATAAAAAA